AAGAAAGCCACCTGCTTCGGTTTGGCCACTCAGACAGTATCATAACCCTTACACAAATCGAATGTCAGTCAGCTACAACGTAGGACCAGGCACATATGTGCATCGGTCCAGGTTGCCATACCGCATCAGCACAAGATGAACACCGGATTCATAGCAATGGTTAGGTCAAAGGTGGTAATATATAAGAGAAAGATTGCATATATATTACAAGAAGAAAGAATTGGTTCGTAGAAAGAAAGATATGAAGTGATTTTAATCTCCTAGTTTAAGGGAAGACAGGGAGTGTATACACCGACGCCATTGTGATCGATTCTGAACCATGTCACCAAGAGTTTCCAACCATTGGTTATGATATTCACGCGGACCCCAACCAAGTAGTCTGCATCTACCAACATGGCTCAGACTAGAAGTTAGTGACTTCAAGCACTGATGCCACGTTTTGGTTTGGCCGCCCCTAATTCTCTTCCAACCATCTCCAATACCGGATAGCATTGCACGTCGTGGTAATCGGTATTCGGGCATACGTAACACGTGGCCCAACCATCTCAGTCGATGAAGATTCACAACCTCATCAACTGACTTACCATTATTCCCTAATACCCTGCGTTTAACCTCACTATTACTTACCCGGTGATCCTGGCAGACGCCAGCAATATTTCTAAGTCATCTGTGGTCAAATACTAATAGCTTACGAGTGTCTTCTACTCTTAATGGCCATGTTTCGCTGCCGTAAAGTAAAACAGAACGGACTGCCGTGCAGTATACTCGTCCTTTTATTGACAGACGGATATCTCGCCTTCGTCAAAGGTGACGTAAGTTGGCAAAAGCCAAACAAGCTTTCGAATCCGTGCTGAGATTTCGTCGGATACCAACCCATTAGGGCTGATCAGACTTCCAAGATAAGTGAAGTTGTCAACGCGTTCGACTACTTCACTCCCTATCCTTAGTTCAGGTGTTTACGCAGACCAGTCCTGAAGCAACAACTTGCATTTCGAGGGAGAGAAGCGCATTCCAAACATTCTGGCATTGTTGCTTAGTGCTACCAGAAGACTTTGCGTTTTGTCAGCGTCTTGATCAAACAGGACTATATCATCTGCGTATTCTAAGTCGATAAGTCGACCTCCTGGATGGAGATCAATACCCGAGAACTCAGTCAACGAGAAAGTTATTTCCATCAGTAGATCTATGATGAAGTTAAACAAAAATGGGGAAAGTGAACAGCCTTGACGGACACAACTTGAGGTTGCAAAAGTAGATGACAGTTCGCCATAAGCTCTGACTCAACTAGTAGTGTTTGAGTAAAGAGCCTTCACAAAGTTCATGTACTTCTGGGGTACGCCTTTCAATGACAAACACTGCCACAGAATCTCGCAGTCTACCGAGTCAAATGCTGCTTTTAAGTCGAGAAAGACCACCATTGTCGGACGCCGTTAAGTATGCCCGTGTTCTAGAATCTGACGAATGGTGAATATGTGGTCGATGCAGCCACGACCCGGTCTGAAGCCAGCTTGAGTCTCTCGTGTTTGCTTAGCTAGGCGTCTGATAATTATCGAAGCCAGTATTTCCGATATTATATTAGTTAAACTAATCCCTCTGTGGTTATCACTGGATGATTTTGACCCTTTCTTATATATTGGGACGATAAGTGATTGCGACCGGTCAGATGGAATAACATCTAACACCCAGATCTTAGTTAAAATATTAAACAACCTAATCGCCAAAATTGAACCATCATCCTTAAAGACCTCTGAAGCCAGTCTATCTGGACCAGCTGCCCTTACTCGTTTCAGAATAACTATAGCCTTTTGAATTTCATCAAGAGTTGGGGGACCTACTTCAATGTTCCATTCACATTGTCTGGGAATAGAGGGTAGTTGTAGAGTAGCTGAAGGCCAGTTGAACTGTTCTCTGAAATGTTCCGCCCATCGTTCTAAACGTCTGGACTGGGAGCAGATGAGAGTATCGTCTTTTTCCGAAATGATCTCACTTACACTTGACTTATTAATTCCAGTTTCTTTTATTAGTCTGTAAAGCTGTCTTGTGTTCCATATGGTTGCCGCCTTTTCCATCTCTTTTGCTTTCGTTGCCCACCACTGCTCACGGTCATTTCTTAGACTTTTTCTTAACCTAGATGTGATTTGTTTAAGCTTTTCATCATGTTCAGATCGTGATGTGACCAGTTTGCGAGAATTCATCAGTGTGATAGACTTTGAAGAAATCCACTGGTTCTTTGTAACTCTGTGGTTTAAGTCACTAATAGATGTCACTGCTGTTTCCACAGCGGATTGTATGCCTTTCCAAGCAACATCTGGGTCAGCCTCGTCTTCAGAACTACCTAAGTGTGACCTCAGTTGTTCCTGGAACTTACTTTTGGTTTTCTCCTTACTCAACTCAGTTCTAATGGGTCTTTTTAATGTGGCTTTTTTGCGTCCAGTGAGGCGCAAGCAGATGCGTGCCCGTATTATGGCGTGGTCGGAGTTCAAGCAGGTACTCCAGAATGAGCGACAATCTTCTACCAACCCTCTCCAACGATGACTGATGGCAATATGGTCTATTTGAGTCCATCTTTGGTTGGGTGTAGGGGGTCGGCATGTTAGACGATGTCTCTCCTTATGCTTAAAGTGTGTTTGCTAAAAATAAGCGATTGTCTGAGCACAGTTGCAGCAGACGATCACCATTATCTGTTCGCTGTGTCGGAATACTAAGATATCCACCTAAATGCCTTTCTGTTTGGTTTAAGCTATCTATCTGAGCATTAAAGTCACCCCCTATGAGTACTATGTCTGAGCGTTTAGCTTTCTGAAGAAGTTCAGAAAGCTTTCTGTAAAATTCGTCTTTCACATCATCTGAGCTGCAGTCAGTGCGAGCATAGGCAGAAACGACGAAAAGGCAACGACGTGTGTTCCCATTCTTCCGAGTTCTTACGTAGCCGTTTAGCCGAACAGCACATAGACGACTGTTGATGGGGATCCACTCTAGCAGTGCTTGTTCGGCCCTCATGCTTAGTACTATGCCTACACCTGCCAGTCCACGAGAACTGGCCATCGGGTCACCATATACACGCAGGGTGTATCTCGTTGGCTCTACGTTTTGCCGAGGTAAGGTCAAGTGAATGACCACACTGGAATCTTGTATGAGTGTTTCAGAGACACAGCATACATCAATAGAAAGAGACTCTCGGGTTTTAGCCAAGGAAGCCTGTTGACCGATTCGACATAGGGTTCGTACGTTGAAGGCTCCAATGTTTAGTTTGGAGCGAGGTTTCAGTAGACCTGGGACAGAGTTTTGAGCACTAGAATCGTTGGCTATAGTGACACTTGAGGAAGAAGCCGAAGGAGGAAGTTTAGAGTTGAAAGTCGATGTAGGAGGAATAATAGGAATTGAAGAGGAAGGTTGAATATGAATACAGTGGTCTCGAGTGCTGTTAGAGGTATGAGGGCGGTTATCACTTCCCGGTTGCCAACACCGTGGAAGGGTTGTCCTGTAGGTACCTGAAAAAGAAACTGGATTAGAGGTGGTCTTAATGACCTGAGAGCGTGACCGCAGTGCCCAAGGGACAACTGCTTGAGGTCTGTCACACACGACCTTTTTATGGGCAATTTTTGCGTTATATCCGTACTTGTTGAGACCTTACCTCCGGAGACAAATATTCGTGGGATAAGGCGAGGTGTACATTTTTAGGGTCGACTTTTTCTAACCCCAACCCTCCTTGTGGGAAGGCAGCATCGCTGTCATGCTGGTTGTCTGAAGGAAACACCTTACTGCTGTCACACCACTGTACAGTCAGCAGTACGACTTCGCCTTCGGACCTTGGGTTTGTTGCTTTTAGTCTTACCGCTCTTCAACCGACCTGTCTGACATGTTAGGACCTTGAGGAGCAGTTGTTCCAGCCAGTATTGCTTGGTTGCTTCATCACGCTAAGAAAGCCCGACCACCACGTCAAGGTAGCGACAACGGTCGGGACAAATCAAATGAGATTTGTGTGGCGCATATGTATTTGGTGCCCCCTTGTACCAATATTTGTGTTCAGATAAATAAGTATTTGTAGCCCTTAGGTGTATATTTTGGTCCAATGAAAAAAGCTCTGCCTGCATATTTTCATAATTTTATTTGTTACACTTGAAATGGTCATTTGGTAAAAATGACGGGTCATTTTATTGTCTCACTGACATTAAGAATGTTGTCAAGGTGAGAATAGAGTTCTGAGAAACCATTCAATCACCAGTTTAATGGATACTCATGGGGTATTAGATGAGGTTGATGTGCGCTTACTTTCCCCTAGATTCCTCTCCATCCATGAGATGGTTTCTCTGGCAGCATTAGATGCTTAGTATGTGAGTTTGCAAGTAGTTGCAAAGCTACATATATCTCATAGATGCATAGAGTTTTCTTGACTATATGTGTGCCTATGGTTGTGTTGAACGGATTCTATGCACAGTAAATGCAAATGAACAAGTTCAATCACTAGTTGTGGTTATAAACGTTCGTTGACTTAAATTACTAAATCCATTCTAAGACTGGTTAGATTCATTCGTATTCAAAACAGATATAACTCATGAGCTACATGAGAATTTATAACATTGCTAAATTGCATCATATTATCAATATTACTCTGGTGTCATACTGCTCTATTTTCAGCAATTTTGTCTAAAACTCACTCTGAATACCCACATGATTTTCACTTGTTTAGAAAATCATTTTTCTCAACTTGGTTACACTGTCAACTAATAGAAAATGCTTTCCTTTTTTAATTAGAAGGTTTGGGTATGCTGTCTACCTTACCGACTTAAATAACGTTTTTTAAAACTTCTTTTGCCATTTCAGGTATCTTTGCACGTTTTGTTACAAACAAGTATTCATATTGACTCAACAAAAGAATATTAGTTTAAGAACGGTTGGAGGATTTACAAATTAATAACATACACAAGTTTTCATGAACAAGCTCTGGAGATATCATCTGAGTTATAGTACACAAAGCAGGGCACAAACTATTGTGTACCATGCTCAGTGAACCTGCTTCCCCATACGCATTTTGTAAAGATTTGCAGAACCTAATCATTGTAACAGAAGAGCAAATCATTTCACCTTTGCGTAAAAAGTTAAAAAGAAGTGATGAACACTCCGAAATTTTATCACTTGAGATACAAGACGCTGAGGTAATTTGGTGAATATAGTGCGATTTCCGTTATAGAATAAAACTTTTGAATATTTAGCCCAGCAAATTTCAGCTATTTGTAATGCTGATGAAGATACAGCTAATGCCATTATGCGTGAATATCCAAAATCGGAAGTTTGCTTTCGATGTCTCGGTATAAATGATGACACTATACAGGTAAGTGATGAATGTCTTCAGATTTTCATACGTATCTCTAGGGCCTTCTTCGTATTCGTGGTATTGGCTTTCTACAATTGTTAGATATGCCTGACAGTGAAGTGAGAACAATCTTACAAAATTATGGTGATTATGGTGAGGAAGTTGATCATGTACTTGCTGGTCTTGCAAAAATACGCGGGAATATTGATCTCATTGAAAGTGACTTAGCATTTGAAGATGATACCAGGAACTTAATCAAATTGGTGATGCGTTTGTCTGACGATGATTCTCAAGTTGAAGAACTAAACAATATCCTTAATGCTCAAATTTACGAAGAAAGAAAGGATCCTCGTATACCTCCCTTATATGTTACTGGCCCTGAAGATTCTCCTTTTGTTAACAAGGAAATGTCTGCACAAAACTCGTCTCATAAAAATACCAAAGTAGTTGTTTGCTCTCATTTAGAGCACGATACATCCTGTGGAAATCTTATTAGCCATTCCAATTCCGATAATATTAATACATTTAAAACTGGTTGTGATGTCAACTACAATGGCTGTAGTTCGTTTACTTCCCCACATGCTTCCAGTTGTATCACCATAAATAGTCCACAGAATGTCACAAATAAATCTGAATCCGGAAAATTGTCCAAAACTGATTTTAAGACATTTAATCTCATTCCGGGTATATCTGATTCGAATATTCCTTCAGAAATTGATCTACATAATGGCGGGCTTTCAGTACCTTCTACTCCCATTTCTTATAAATTATCCTCGACCATTTTAACACCCTCAAATCTTTTTAAAGCAGGCCGTCATACACTACCAAATGAAGTAATCTCACTTTCTCCCGGTGGGCGTCGAGCAGGCAGTCATTCGTCTCGAGATCGCGAGCATCAAACTCGTCAGGCAGGGACTCCGCCACCCAAACATCGTTTAAGATTTTCTTCTCCGCTTCATCGTAGCAAGTCTCATGAGTCTAATCTTGCCAATCGTATTATTTTACCTGCCCTCCCAAATGTACCACAGTTCCACCAAGAAACAAACTCTTCCTGTTATATCAGTAGACCACAACTATTTTTATATAATCCGATTTCCCCAGACGCCTCCAGTAATTTACACAACGATTATTTCAATTATTCTGAGTGTATAAATGGCGGTCGACCGTGTATAACTACTACTCAATGTGGTGTATGCATTAACAGCGATGTTATTTCAAATGGGAATAAAACAGTTTCAACATTTTATAATACTTGTTCCATTAGTGATAGTACTTCCACACTTGTCACAAGTCCACGTACCTACGATCAAGGTCGACGTGTGTCTTGTGAATATCGACCATCAAAGACTAATTTACAACCTTTAATGACTACATCTGCAGATAGTGATAATTTATTAGGTAGGTTTTTTTAAATGACAGATTAGGCATATCTACTGCTTTATGCTTTTTTTCTACACTTATATATTTCGTAAAAGAAAAGGTATATATTGATCATAATTTCTGTTAGGAAACTTTCGAATTTTCGAGCTCAATGAATATTCCATTCATATTACTTCATGAATAGTTGTAAATCAGTATAATGAATTCATAGTTATACTGGATTTTTCGATAAACTGTTAAATATTTTATTCTAAGCACTAAAAAACAGTCATTAGCTTTGTAGTCATCTTGGTTATATATTTGAGTAGTAAACTTCAATGGTGGTTGCAATGTAAACTTTTGACTTGTAATCATTCAGTGAAAAAAGATTTATGAATTGAACCTAGTGCTATTCAGTACTCAAAATATATTTATGACTTCACCTATCGGAAGTATTATGTGACTTACAGTAACGTTTAATGGTTCATTACACTGCTTAATGAGAAGTAATTTTTTATCTACCGATATATAGCTGTCAGTATTGGACTTTTCTCTAGTTCCTGGTTATTCTATATATCTGGTGACTGATTTTTTGTGGTATTGTGCAACATCGTGATTTCTTGTGTAAATAGCTTTGTAATTGTGGACTTTACATAAGTTTCACATTTGTTCACGGATTACTTTCTACACCTGTTCAGCTAGGTTGGCAAAAACCAACGACCTTTTTGAATTCAAACTGAGATTTTGTCGGACACTAAACGGCTAGGGCTGACGAGAATCCAACGTTAGTTTATGCCTTTAATGTTAATCATAGTTTATCGTACAAAACGTGTTTATTTCGTAAGGTGAATATCTTTGTAGTTTTGCATTCGTATTTTGTTCTTATTGTTTGATTAAATACACCTTTTTTAACACTGCGACTTTGCTTTGTAGGCATTTTGTGAGCGAAGTTCTTTTTGAAATAAGTAGCTGAAGCTTGGTCTTAAGTAGATTGCATTGCGTTTTTCATTAAGGTGACTTTCACAAAAGGTTTTGTCTCCTAGTATTTAGAGCTTTCAAAAGAGTTAACTGAAATATACTGTGGTATGACCTTGAATGACTTTTCAAGCAGTTAGAAGTGATTTTAGTTATGATGCAAGTTGTGATATAAATGTCAGTCAGTCAGTAACAACGTAGAACTTCATACATACGTACATCAGTTCGAGTTGCTACACCACATTAGCACAGAGATGCAGTTGTCGACTCAAATTCCGTAGTAGTAGAGGTAGTATAAGCAGTAATCGGAAACATTAAGGCTTGATGTTATTGAAGTAGTATAATCCAGTGAAATAAATTTGGAAAGAAAATAAGGGACATAAAGAATTCAGAAGATTAAAATTTGGGAGAATACAAAGAGTGGATGCACTTGTGCCATTGCAGACGATTTTGAGCCATGTCATTCAGGGTCTCTAACCATCGGTTGCTATCATCTCGCGGTCCCCAACCACGTAGTCTACACCTACCAACATGACTCAGTCCACTTGTCAGTGATTCCATGGACTTATACTATGGTTTGGTCTGGCCGCCCCTAGCTTTCTTTCAACCTACTCCTATACCACTGAACATCGCACGTCGAGGCAGTTGGTGGTTGGGCATATGTAACACGTGTCCCAGCCATCTCAACTGATGAGGTTTCACTACTTCATCAATTGCTTTGCCATCCTTACCTAGTACCCGTTTCCTAACAACTGCATAACTTACTCTATGATCTCAGGATATACGAGCAATGCTTCAAATACTATTAACCTACGAATATCCTCTACTCTTACCGACCATGATTCACTGCCATAAAGTAGGACGGAAAGAACTGCTGCGCAGTAAACACGTCCTTTGGTTGATAGACGGATATCTCGCCCACGCCATGAATGACACAATTTGACAAAAGCTAGTCGAGCCTTTTGTATCCGTGCTGAGATTTCGTCACACACCAGGCCACAAGGGCTGATGAGACTTCCAAGATAAGTGAAGCGGTCGACACGCTCAACTACTTCACTCCCTATCATTAGTTCGGGTGTTAATGCAATCCAATCCTGAAGCAACATTTTGCATTTCGAGGGAGAGAATCGCATCACGAACATGCTTGCATTGTTGCTTAGAGTGGTCAGTAGACTGCATTTTGTCAGCGTCTTCACCAAATAGAACTATGTCATCGGCATATTCTAAGTCAACAAGTGAATCTCCCGGTAGAAGTTCAACCCTTGGAAATTTAGATAAGGAAGGTGTTATCTCTAAAAGCACATCAACGACAAAGTTAATCAAGAATGAAGAGAGTGGACAGCCTTGACGAACACCACTTGAGGTAATCAATTCTGATGACAGTTCGCCATAAGCTCTCACTCTACCAGTTGTGTTCGAGTAGAGAGCCTGTATAAGGTTAATGTACTTCTTTGGTACTCCTTTCAGTGACAAACGCTGCCATAGAACCTTACGATCAACAGAGTCGAATGCTGCCTTAAGGTCGAGAAATACTACCATTGTGGGGCGTCTAAACGTGTGTCTGTGTTCTAGAACCTGACGTAGTGTGAATATCTGGTCTATACAACCACGTCCAGGTCTAAAACCAGGCTGATGTTTTCTAGTTTGTTCTTCACGAGCTTTGGTTAGGCTCCGAAGTATTATTGAAGCTAATATTTTAGACACTATATTAGTCAAACTGATTCCTCTATGATTGTCACAAGAGGATATTTTTCCTTTCTTATAGACTGGCACAATCAGTGATTGAGACCAGTCAGATGGGATTATGTCCAGTTCCCAAATTCTACCTAAGACCTCGGTTAATCTCATTGCTAATACTGGACCACCATCCTTAAAAATCTCAGGAGTAAACCTGTCAGGGCCTGCTGCTCTCCCTCGTTTCAGATTTCCTATGGCTTTTTCAACTTCGTAAAGGGACGGAGAACTTACATTAACTTGATATTCAGGTTGACTATAGATCGTGGGAAACCGAAGTGTGGCTGAAGGCCAGTTGAACTGATCCCTAAACTGTTCTGCCCATCGATCCAATCTCCTGGGTTGAGAATGTATAATATGTCCATCTTTCTCTGAGATTGTTTCGCTAACGGTCGGGTTCCTAATTCCGCTTTCCTTAACGAGTCTGAACAATTGTCTGCTATTACCTATTGCCACTGCCTTTTCCATCTCTCTTGCTTTCGCTACCCACCACTGTTCGCGATCATTGCGTAGACTTCTTGTCAGCTTGCGCTTAAGCTGACTCCGCTCTTCACTATGTTAAGAGCCAGGTGGAATGAGTTTCCGAGCATCTATCAGTGCGATAGATGCTGCTGAGATCCAGTGTTGCTCCCCAACCTTCTGGTTTACCTTACTAGCAGATATCACTGCTGTTTCTACAGCTTTTCGGATATCACTCCATGGTGCCTCGGGGTGGGCAGCACATACATGGCTGCCTAACTGTTTTCCTAGTTGTTCCTGAAATATACTCTTAGCTTGACTATCATTAAGTAGGCCCCTAAGAGGTTTCCTTGCAGCGTCTTTCTTACGTCCAGTAAGACGCAAGCAAATACGCGCTCACACTAGAGCATGATCTGAATCTAGGCATGTGCTCCAGAATGAGCGACAGTCTTCTATCGAGCCCCTCCATCGGTGGCTGATAGCGATTTGATCTATTTGGGTCCAACGTTGGGACGAATTAGGGGGTCGCCATGTTAAAAGATGTTTTTGCTTACGCTTAAAGTTAGTGTTTGCAAGAAGCAGGCTGCATAGCTGCAACAGACGGTCGCCATTATCTGTTCTTTGAGCCACGACACTATAAGATCTACCCAGGTGTCTTTCCCTTTCGCTTAGTTTACCTACTTGAGCATTAAAGTCACCGGCCGCTACTACTACATCAGAGCGCCTAGCTTTTCGGACAAGCTTTCTGTAGAGCTCATCTTTTACATCATCTGAGCTGCAGTCAATGGGAGAATAGGCAGAGACGACGAGTGTCCCTATCTTTCCGGATTCTTACTGTTCCGTTCAGTCGGACAGCGCACAAACGACTGTCTACTGGGATCCACTCTAAGAGAGCTAGTTCTGCCCTAGGACTCAATGCTATACCTACGCCGGCAAGTCCACGAGAAGCAGCATCTGGGCCTCGAGATATACAAAGTGTGAATCGAGTTGGTTCTTTGTTTTGACATGGTGATGTCAAATGAATGACGCTACTCGGATCCTGTATTCGTGTTTCGGAGACGCAGCACATATCGGTGGCACGAGGTTCTAAAGTCCTAGCTAAGAAAGCCTGTTGTCCTATTTGGCACACTATTCGGACGTTATAAGCTCCAACATGAAGTTTTTCGTAACGTAGCTTCCACACCAGATCATACTCACTTTATGTTTGCACAACGGATATGTTTATCAGTTTTGAGCGTATCAAGAACCGAATAAATGTAAATTTTACTAACATGTCAATGAGGCATAAGGTAGTTTCCGTTTTTGCAACAATCAAGAAGATATAAATAAAAATAATATATTTGTAATATCCCAATGAGTAGAAAATGGGATTTTCTGACGTTTCGTGACTTAGTGTAAGTCACTTCTTCAGAGAATAAATAACCAAATTAAAATTAATCCAAGTTTAAATAGTACAACGGAACAATGCAAGAATAATACTGGATCAATCAAAAACAAGTCTGAACAAGTTGATGTCATGTCATTTCTATCAAGGTGATTCATAAGTGATATGTATGTAAATTTGTGTGTATGTATATGTGTATTGTTTAAGAATGAAAACTTGTGTGACCTTTATGGTAAGAAAGGATAGAGTTTAAATTTGTAATATGATAGTGTGAAATTGTAAATACGATCAGACTGAGTGGCTAGGATAGATGGTCCAAGTAGGTAGTATAGTAAGACCTTCCTTTCTATTGAGAGAAGTAGGATTAAGCATTATATGGAACGCCTCAGCTACCCTCCTTTCTTTGTAGTTAGAAAGGTCACACAAGTTTTCATTCTTAAACAATACACATATACATACAAATTTACATACATATCACTTATGAATCACCTTGACAGAAATGACATGACATCAACTTGTTCAGACTTGTTTTTGATTGATCCAGTATTATTCTTGCATTGTTCCGTTGTACTATTTAAACTTGGATTAATTTTAATTTGGTTATTTATTCTCTGAAGAAGTGACTTACACTAAGTCACGAAACGTCAGAAAATCCAATTTTCTACTCATTGGGATATTACAAATATATTATTTTTATTTATAACAATGAACCCAATGCTCAATTTATTCGAAATTATCAAATCAAACCTTGGTAATGACACCTACAATCAAGAAGATATTTTATTTCTGATTAGTCCTAAGCTATGACTTACTTTAGCCAGTAGATTAAATGAGTATCCATAAACATCTCTAGTTTGTTAATTTTGTATTTGAAGTAATTAGACATGCTTTCATTTAAATCTAGGTATCCTTAATGTTCCGACTAACTCAGGTGGGGCCACATTTGTTCTCAGTGCAAGTGGATTTATGCACAAGTGAGTTAGTGTCTATATTTGTGTTTAACAGATATATGTGTATTTTCGTAGTAGTTGTATACAACTTGGCACTTGCTTAGTGAATTAGTCATTTAATAGTACAAAGTGAGTAGATATATGTGCATTGGTTCCTGTCATGGTCTGAAGGAATCTTTTGCTCTCTTCAAAATACATAACTCCTATAGTTCAAAGTCGAACTTCATAGTATTATTCAAAGTTTTTTAAAACTAAAAGCTAATCATAGGGGAATTAACCAGCTTTTAAAATAGTGTTTAAAGTTCACACTGGTAACCGAAATTGAGATTTCCATGTAATTGAGCTCACTAAACATTTTATGCCATATGTTTGTCAGGTTCATTTAGTGGGCGTTTTTAAAAGTTTAATTGTGAAATTCAGAAGTGTTTGTTTGACGAACCAACTGTAGATCATTCGATTATTCGTTTATAAACTATCTTCATGTCGTAATTTTACATCACTGAATGACTTTGGTTAGACAACCATAGAAAACCAGGGATCACTGAATAGCTTCTTCATTTTGGTATAAAACTCTTCACTTGTGAGGATTCACGACCACACCTGGTACCGAAGCCTGCATTTTCAGGCTTCTCATCTAGCGCTTAATGTGCAGGCCACTGAGTTGGTATCCAACATTTCTAACCACTACTTATTGCCATTATTGATATGATTGTCTCACTCCAAACACAATGTTGAACTTCACTGGTGACAGCTTCTCAGTGAAACTGAATTTCTTCATCTACGTATAGTTTGATATTAATAACATTGTAGTGAACAGGAACACCAGCGGGGACAATCGAATGTATTTAACACAAAATTACAGGACTTGTTAATAAAATCTAACAATCATAAAGTAAATTCTTAATTTGCAAAATGTCCCCCAATTGTCTCGAAATGACCCAGACTTCATTGTTCTTGTATTTTCATTCAAATTGCATCCTATTTCCATTCTTTACTGCTCGATCCTCTTGTCTCTCTGCTGCCAGACCTTCTGTTCACGACTAATATCATATACTACTTATGTCAATATAAGTAGCAAACACCACAGTATGGCTAGATATATTTTTATAACATGTGACAGTTGTTTAACATGTTATTTCACAATTTTTCCGTTTCACAGATTCGAATTAGAATCTAAATTTGGTGATTTTGTTAAAGGTACTCCATGCGCTGTTTGTAATAATCGAATGCGATTTCGTCTACAACATTGTGCTTACTGCAAGTAAGTGTGCTAATATATTACTTTACTTAAAAAATGATAATATACATGCACTGTTATATTTTACTATAAAAAGTATACTAGTTGCACCTGTTATGTCCTATAACCCGCCAAATATCACTTGGCGAAATCGCCAATCAGAATACCGACTGCTATCACCCTGTCTCTGTGCTAAACCAATGATGCGTTAACCGGCACGAGAAGCCTTGAGTCAACTCTGAGACCTTATTGGTCCTCTGTGTAGTAGTCTCTCACCTAGCTCCTCCTATTCAGTTCAGAACACAAATATCAGCCTCCGCTGTGTAAATCGTATATTTCAGACATACGTAGTTTATATACAAGCAGACCAGACCAAATAACAATATAAAACGAAAAATAATCATTATACAAGATCAAGCCAAAAGTGACTGTGACTATGGGATACTGTAACTAATAAATTTTCCATGATTATTATTAAATTTTGATTGAGATCATGAATCGATCAGTATTAGACCGCCTTTGAAAACCTGGAAGCATTGGACGGTCGTTTCGTCCTAGTTTGGGACTCCTCAGCAGTGTGCATTCATGATCCCAAGCTACAAAAACACGACCGTCCAGTGCTTCCAAGTTTTCAGTGATGGTCTAACATTGATTGATTCGTGATCTCGGTCAAAACTCAATTTCTACAACCTTAAACTGATATTATTCAATTGTTATTATGACCTTTACGTTTTTCACTTTTTTGTATATCTGTCAAGTGGACAATTATCTCTCATATTTGTAACCTGTAAATTATTTTCACTACCTTATTCTTCTCTAATCCATTGATTTCTACTCAACCTCATTTGATATTTGGAGTCTCGAATCTTTTGATGATGCAATCTTTTCTATCCTTCTATAGACTCAGATATTTACCATACAACTATAAGTACGAAGGTACAGCTTAAGTAAATGGTTTCTTCGGAAAGTGAAAATTTCCTCCTCTAAATTCACTTTATTTTTATTATTGAGTGTACAAATAACTTGCTTAAGATTAGATTTTATTGTCTTGACTTGTTATTGTAACACTATACACAATTGTTTGACTTTTTAAAAAAATCTCTGTACATAGAATCAAAGTACATAAAAGTTGCGTTTCTCATTCAAGACGACTTCCTTGCACAGGACCTTCCAGTGGACAAAACAATGAATTACACGAATTTAAATGTAATCCATTTTAATATTCTCTTAAATATAAGTATGAGAGATGATATATCAAATGTTTGGGAAAATATATGAAATTACCCAGATTTTATTGCATTGTAGACATTCTTACGTCTAGCTAAACAACTGATTCCAAGTTCATTTTAATGGTAAAGATGTCATCTACATGCATACTTTAATCAGCTTTTATTTTAGTATAATTTCAAATCAAATAACTCTCATCAACACCACAACTAATTTTCCACATTCAACAATATTCATACATTTAGATAGTTTGTGTTTTAATATAAAGTCGTTTTACGTATCCGAAATGCCCTGGTACGGTCGAGAGTTGGGAGAGTCAGCTCTCCCTATCCGAACGCTCTTACATGACCACGCGTATACAGCCAGTAAAGTCTTACCCACTGCCTTCTCGCGGCTGCAGTGTCGTTTACGAAATTAAGAGGACGAAAATCAAATGTCCGGCACCTTAACTGGGTTGGTGGACACGGAGGGTCCACCTAGTGGAGTTGGAAAATTATGATTCCAAAGCAATGGTACATATGGGACCCACAATCCTGAGTGAACAAATGGCGTATGAGCCAATTATTGGTCACTGGCTACCATTGGACTGCATCTCCTTGTGGATCAGATCTTTAGGTCAAAGGCTCCGGGTGTGGCCTCCTAAGAAAATCACCTGCTTCATTTTGGGCAATCGGGTAGTATTGTGGTGTGAGCTACTTATATTGATATAAGTAGTATATAACGTGCGTTAAAAGAACGTAATGTCCGGCAGCAAAAGATGGCGAAGACCAAGAAAGGTGGAGCAAGAACATAATGGAATTTGTAAGAAAACTTATGAACAATGGAATGGGAGACAATGGATTAGTGTTTGCAGCTTGAACAGTACAGTTTGATATGATGTATTGATAATTTGCAAATTAACGATTGACTTTATGGTATTCAGATTTTGTTGAGATAGTCTGTAATTTTCGAGCTAAATACATTCGATTGTCCCCACCCGTGTTCTTGTTCACTACATTTGGTGTCGCTGCCAACCGGGAGAGGAGGAGGGTGCTGTTCTGCGGACGCCGCTGCGGGCCTGGGGCTGAGGTGCCAGTTGGAGCAGTCTGGTGCGGAGAGGTGGCGTCTGGTGGAGTGTTCTGGCGGGGCGGCGTCGTCTGTAGCGGGTGCTGTCGACGGAGAGAAGCGGTGGGACGCGCGGCTGCTGGGCGGACATCGGATGTAGATGGCTCGGCAGGCCGGTGGAGTGCGGGTGTTAAGCGTCCCAGGTGCCGGGTGGATGTCGGTCGTTGTTGCCCCGGCAGGTCGACGGAGCTATGGAAGTCAGCGCGCCGCAGACTCGACATTTTGGCGGAGAGCGCGGCACAGACTGCAGAGACGGAGAATGTTGCACGGCGAGCATGAACCACCACAAGGACGACTGTTTTAAAGGGGGGGACGAGTGTGGTGTGAGCTACTTATATTGATATAAGTAGTATATAACGTGCGTTAAAAGAACGTAATGTCCGGCAGCAAAAGATGGCGAAGACCAAGAAAGGTGGAGCAAGAACATAATGGAATTTGTAAGAAAACTTATGAACAATGGAATGGGAGACAATGGATTAGTGTTTGCAGCTTGAACAGTACAGTTTGATATGATGTATTGATAATTTGCAAATTAACGATTGACTTTATGGTATTCAGATTTTGTTGAGATAGTCTGTAATTTTCGAGCTAAATACATTCGATTGTCCCCACCCGTGTTCTTGTTCACTACAGTATCACAGCTCATACACCAATCAAGTGACTTGTGTAGTGCATATGTATTTAGTGCCCCTTTGTATCAATATCAATTTAATAAATATAAAATAAATTCGATAATTTTTAATGATTTCCCTGAAGAAGTTCGTCCTCAACTATTTTAATTTCAATTAATTACTGGAATTATTATAAATATAATTCCATTTTGTTACCCTTAACAATAATTGGATGCAAGAATAGAATTTTTTTAGTAAATATCATCATTTTCATTTTATTTGAAGAAAGGTGTGTCTGAGAAGTTTATTGACATTTTAAAGGCCCTATATACAAACATCTCAGGTAGAGTGAGGGCATACAACCACCTTTATCCATTGTTCCATTCAAGCAGTGAGGTTAGACGGTTGTCCAATCTCACCATTTCTCTCCAACTTTGCCATCGATGACATTCTGGAAAAAGATCTGATGGATGTAAGTAATGGTGGTGTGTATCTGTTGCCTGGAGAAAGACTTCTCGACCTTGAGTATGCGGATGATATTGTCTTACTGTGCGTTAATGCCCAAGGCATGCAATCCGCACTTAATCAGTTGGCAATCAGTGTCCGTAGGTACGGCATTTGCTTTGCACCTTCGAAGTGCAAAGTAAGAAAGCTGCAAAGGACTGGCTTGTGTTGGTCCTTCACGACTCCCTGGTTGGGGTCCGAGAGATGGTGCAACACAGTGGCTAGAAACGTTATCAGATATGGCTCAGAATAGAAGCCAGTGGGAATCCTGCTGTAGGCTTCTTTTACTTTCTTCATAAAAAGTGGTTGTATCTTCCTTAACTGAGAGATTTCTTCTGATTGTACCTTTCTGTTTCCTCCATTATTATCATTATTACTATTATTATCACACCACCTTACACTAATCTGGTCGTTATTAATCTTTTTTTTCTTCTACGCTCCTTACCTTCCTTTTTATCTCTTCCCATTCTGTTTGTTTTGTGTGGCGCTTATATATTTGGTGCCCTCTTGTGCCAATATTTATGTATTCAAATAAATAAATAATAAGTCACTTATAAGTTATGACTTATTGAATTAGTTATTGAATTTTACTTGATTATCGTGTCATGTGTAACATACATATCGGTAGTAGTAGTAGTTAGTAGTAGTGACATTTGTAAATAAATTTTTCACATGTATATCACGTTTGTATTTTTTTTGTATTTAATAAATAATTAATTATAATTACAAATTATTTTCAAGTGATGATTCTAAACATTTTTAGTTAATTTTTTCTTTTGTTTTACCAAGGATACATAGACACTGATTATTAAATTAACAAAGTGGTAACTTATATCGGTTAGAGCGTTCAATTTCATCTATTTTAATTTTATTAGTCAGGTAGTTGTATTGTAGTGCATACTACCTATATTGACAGATATAAGTAGTATGTATCAGCAATCGCAAGTCAAGTGCATATCAGAAGAACAGAAACTAAAATAGGGATCAGTTGTAATAACAACAGAATTGAAAGAATCAAAAGTTTGTAATGGATAACTGAAGGAAGATGTGCAAATAATGTATTTAATGAATAATTTTCATATTTTACGAAGGTACTGTTTAGTTTTTTGCACTCGAGAATAAATTGTGTTCAGCCATCTAATTTATGTTCACATTGTTTGTTATCACTGACAAAAAGAGGACGACGAGTATAGTAATGCACACGTAGTTGTGTGGTTGAAAGTATGGTGTCTAATTAGTGATTACCTCTGCAATAGGGAGACATCTAATGGAGTGTCATGGTGGAGCGGTGTTAGGTGTAACGATCGCTGTTGTTGAAGAGATGAAGTGAAAACTATGGTTGCTGAACGAACATGAAATGTAGATGGTGCGGTAGGTCGACATCACTCTGGTGGAGGTCAGCGCGCTGGTCGACTCGACATGTCGGTGTGAGGCGTGGGACAGATTGTACCAGAGAAGAGAATGGTACGGTCAGCAGAATGAACTCGAAAGTGACTCCCGTTTAAACGGATGACGAGTCTAGTTTATGCTTCTTGTGTTGACAGATATAAGTAATATGTGGCAGCAATGTAAAGTGGAATGCATACAAGCGGAACATTGAATTTAAGAGAACAGAAACTAAAATAAGGATCAGTTGTAACAACAACAGAATTGAAAAAAATCATAAAGTTTGTAAAGGATAACTGAAGAAAGATGTGCAAATAATTTATTTAATGAATAATTTTCATATTTTACGAAGGTACTGTTTAATTTTACATTCAATAATAAATTTGTTTTCCCCATCTAAGTTCTCATTCACTTCAGTACAATAAATCTCCATAAAAAAATGACTTATACCTAAAAGTTAAGTACATAAACACATGTACATTTGGTAAATGATTTTGTTTTAACGATTCACTCCAAAAAATTTGACATCTAAACCAAATCTTCTACATGACAGCTGAAGATATTCATCAGTTTAGTATGGAAGATCATATTTTATTGTCTTGATATTTATTTTTAACTATTCGACTATTTGAAGACAGTTAGTATATGAATGTTGATATTATCATTCATTGTTCCAATAGACATTGTTAATGTTAACACTATAGAAATTTGAACCCTCTCCCTTATATATACAAAAACAATTTGTCGTAACCTTGAATTTACCTTGGTAATCCTTAAGTCACTCTATGACCTAGGATAACGCGACAATTTGTTACATATATAAAATTGTTCCTCTCTTCTTTATCAGAATGGGTTCTGCGGAGATAACCTGGAAGCACTGAACGGCCGTTTCGTCCTAGTATGGGACTCCAGCAGTGCGTATCCACTATCCCACCCCCCGCGAAATTCGAACTCAGTACCTATCAGTCTCGCGCCAGGCGCTTAACCAACTAGACCACTGAACGGGCATCCAACGGTTTTAATTTCTAACTTCAACCAATCCACGAAGTTGCGCCACCGTACACCATTGTCTTCAGTGAGTTGATATCTCACAACAGACCTGGTTGAACTCCACTGGTAACAGCTTCTCACTAGAACTCCAGGGGTATCTCCTGAAGTAAGTCACTAGTGAGCAGGTGATTATTATCAGATTGGGTTTTGTGGAGATTTTTTAGAAATTTCACTGGCTAGGGAGTCCCATACTAAGACAAAACGGCCAGCCAGTGCCTCCAAATTTTCCATAGTGGTCTAGCTTCAATTGACTCATGATTTCAACCAGTGAAATCTCTTCCCTTTTTTATTTTTGTTGATTTTTTTATAATTTTTTTACTTGAACTTTCATTTAAAATAGACCTTTATTAATTTTCATATAAAATACCCTGACATGTATATGTGTGATCAGATTGTTTGAAATGTAAGACACAAATACATCCCATATTCATCAAATCAACTCCATCTTCTCATTGTTCTATCGAGATTTATGAAAAAAGGACTGATTGCTTTAAAAAAATAGCATTTGTTTATGCACCCTTATATACAATAGTAAACAATCCATCTGTTGAATTTTGAAGTAAATATTTTTATACTGAATATGTATTGATCTATGTGTATATATTAATGATTGTACTGTTTATCTATGTGTCTATTTTCATTATAAAACAATAGTTGATACATTTTGATATATATCAAAAAGGGGTTTTGTGAATATTAAAGTGATTGAAGCTGAGGAGTCTCACAATCGGACTAAACGATTATCCAGTGCTTCCAGGTTTCCCATGGTGGTTTAGCTTCAATTAACTTATGATCTCAACTATTAAATAAAATTACATTTTGATATATTAACAAGATATATGATTGTTGTGTAATTTTATTATCTTAATCATTACTTTTAAAGGTTCTCCAAATATGCCTCGTCAATTGCATACAAATGTTTTAACAACTAGTCAAACAAATCTTCGTCCTGCCCATTCTACTCCAGCATTTCAAGTTAGTTAATAATAATAATAATAGTAATAATACTTTATTCTTTTTGACTTATTTGTACAATATTAACATAATTATGGAAGAAAGTAAACAAGTAATATGTATCGAACCTTAATTATATCATTTGTTGGATTCTGTCATTTTATTTTATTTTATTTAAAAACATAAATATTGATACGAAGGGGCACCGAATACATATGTGTCACACAAGTTACTTGATTTGTGTGTGGGCTGTGATACTGCCGGGGTGCCTAAGCCGAAATAGGTGGTTTTCTTAGGGAGCTACACCTGGAGCCTTAGACCTAAAGGTCTAGTCCACAAGGTAACGAAGCAACGTCAAGAGATGCAGTCCCATAGTAGTAGGTGATCGATTATTGGTTCATACACCATTTGTTCTCTCAGAATCCTGGAGCCTAAGTGCACCATTAGTTTGGTATCAGGGTTTTCCAACTCCCCTAGGTAAACTCTCTGTGTCCACCAACCCGATTAAAGCGCCTGACGTTCGCTTTTCGTCCTCGCGATTTCGTAAACAACACATTGGACGCGAGAAGGCAGTAAGTATGACTTCCCTGTCAGTGGCTGTATACGCGTGTCCATGTGAGAACATCTCCAGAGGGAGAGCGAACTCTCACCACTCTCGGCCGTACCAGGGCATTTGGATTCTGTCATAGCTTAAATAACTGTTAAATCACGTTTCAGGCTCAATCAGTCTAGTTAGAACCTTTAGTGTTGTCCATTTTTAGTTCAATTATTGTTATATGGTTGATATATCTAATATTTGAGAGCTTGATATTGGTTTTCCAATTGCTTCCTAGTCCCTCAGAAATCTCGTACACTTTTACCTTGAAGAGAAGAAAAAAGGTTGAGTTATCTATCCCTAGAAGGATTAATGTAGGTATGGAAATGTATTATACATATTGTTTGTACATAATTCTGTAAAAGCTTCTGGAGCTGTGTTAAAATGAGTATTATCGTTATTCTGGAACTCTTTCTTAAACGCTGATTAGACAAGACATTTTAAGCTTAGTTAGAGAATAGAAAGACGAAACTCTGTGATTCTCAAGCGGAACTAATAATCTCACCATGTATAATTACTAACTAGATGGTATTAATTAGTTGAGTGACTTTTTCGATGGCTTAAATCAAAAGCTATTGGAATTCGGGATTCATATTCATTTGTCATTCTTCCTTTGAATGGTTTTGATTTAATTCATTCCTTTTTAAACTAAATTTTTTCTGGTTGTTATTTTTGTACAGCTGTTAATTATCATTTCTTTGTTTTTTTTTCTCATGTTAATTTCTTCTCATTACTCTATGAGTATCTAAAGCATGACAACTTGGAATAATACAAATTTGTGCTAGGTTCTTAAGATTGCTTATGTGTGCGCCTGTGTTTCATGGACACTTGCAAAAGCTAAGCCACGCAGATTTGGATTTTATGACTAGTATAAGCTCCCTCATGGTTTTATGTGCGCTTCGCTGCGCACGAGTACCAACTAACACAAAACCTAGGTTTGCTCTTGACTGCTTTTAATTATTTCATACCAAACTCAGCTCACACGATATCAATTCACTTAGATTATTGACCACATTGCAACTTGATTGATAGAATTCAATCGGCAAAAATGACTAGACCAATATGACATTAATTACTACTCAGCAATTCAAATCCCTACTTATTAGTTGAAAGCTGCTTATATATTAAGCTTTACTGGCGGGACTATAATTTATGATCGAACCAATCGGATTTAGGATAACAGGTCTTGGGTTTAGGCGCGAAATTCATTCACCCGTTCCCTAAGCTAGATGATTTAATTGCAAAAATTTCAAGTGGAGTTGCTAATTTCATTGAGCGTGAGAGTACCGGGCTATTCAATGAGACTATCCAGCATCATCACTATATTCTGTTTTGAGTGGATAGTTTCTATTACCGAGTTCTTCATAACGCAAGAGTTTCAACAAAAACCTCTCATCGTTAATGATACTTCATTTAATTGTGATTAGTTATTAGTAGTATTTGTTTTCTATAGTGGAATCGTGTATAATGTGATCAGTTTCACTTGAGTACCATTAAAATAAAATAATTAGGTTCGAATCCTGGAGTGAACAACTCAACTCTGGGATTCAGATACATTCAACTGTTCAGCTCCAAATAACATGAAACATGCATTTTGGTTTACACTTCTAGCCACCATCTATCATCTTTGCTTATAAAGTACATAAATATTTCTTTTAAAATTTTAATAATACGGTTGTCTTTGATCGTTGAATGATACAAACAACTTTAAAAATCAGTAATGATTTTAGATTTCAAGTGTTTTCATTGTATGGTATCTAACTTCTTTTCATTATAATCTGTAATATAGAAATCAGTTTAATTGTGTGTAATTAACAGAACTATAATGATGATTATGTCATAAACGACTTATTCAGAAAGTATGCTAAGCTGGCTTTCCTTTTTTTTCGTTGTTGTTGTTATTACTTAAGAGCATATAGGCAGGATTTACTTATTCATTGTTTTACACCATGCAAAGTTAACAAGTTTCAAAGTACTGTTTTTGCAATCAGCGCCTAGGTTCCAACCTCGTTATTTGCATCTACTGACTTGGATCAAATGAACAGTTATAGGTTTCAATAATCATCACTAAACGGATTGTTTACAGAAATGAGATTGGAAATAATTAACTGTATGTACGTATATCCAATCATCATCTATTTTGACACACAATGTTGGTTTGTTCAGGAGTAGGTTTATCAAACTTAAATGGGACATCAGTCCATTAAGTTATTGGTTATTAGAGAGCCCTTTAGGTTATTGCAGACTATCGGGTTTGTGTCGGTGTGATTTTCGTAACTAGTGTATCAGAATTGGTCGCTGTAAAACAGATATGTTTGCTCTTTGTTTTCTCTTAAATCTTCAGTTCAAAAAAATTATCGTGTACTTTTTATTCCACGAATCCATTACTTGTTCTCGAATCATATTGTTTATGTCTAATGTTTTCTACTACTATTGATACTATTATTACTTTTAATACTTTGATATTTATCTTGATCATTCCACATTACTGTGTTGATATAATGCGGCAACTCGAACTTATGTATATATATTTGCCTTCGCAAAAACATTGGTACAGGAAGGCACCAAATATATATATGCGCCGCACAAATCATTTGAATTGTGTGAGGGCTGAAATACTACTCAGGTGCCCAAACCGAAGCAGGTGGTTTTAATAGGGGGCCACTTCCCAAGCCTCAGACCTAGAGGTCTGATCCACAAGGCAGTGGAGCAAAATCAGAAGATACAGTTCCGTCGTAGCCAGTGACTAACAAAAGGTTTATACGCCATTCGTTCCTTCAGGATCCTGGTGCCCATGTGCACCATTGGTTTGGAATAGTGATTTTCTGACTTGTAGTTGGATCCTCCATAAGCGTCGGATACTCACTTGTCGTCCTCTCAATTTTGTAAACAACACCCCAGTCGCGAGAAGGTAGTGAGTAGGTTTTCCCTGGTAGTAGTTGTATTTCGAAGCGAAGTGCACAAATTAGTCACATTGTAACTGAGTTAATAACAATAAAGTTACGTTTACTTACATTATTCAAATATAAATTGCCATTTTATTATTTTTTTATCTCTTTCTCTGTTTCTATGTGCTGTGCAGAGTTCTGATTCAAACAGTGCTTCGTCATGTACAAGTTCTACACCAGGTTCACCATTTGTCACCGGTACATCATTGCTTAGTACAACGTTAGCTGCATCATGTTGTACTCGTTTAGACAGTGGTTATGTTGGTGTTGGTAGTAATAGTAGTAGTACTACTGGTCAAATGATTTCATTATCTTCTCCTCCATTACGAAATTTAAGCAACAGTGGTGGTTGTATGTTTAATCCTTCTAATCCAAGTCATTTATCTTCGCCAGTTAGTATACATTCTTACGGAACAGTTAATGCTGGAATTGTAACTAATACACAACAACAACAACAACCTCATTCTCCTCGACATTCCGGCCAATGTTTTAATCATTTTGAATTTCCAAGTAAGCGTTTTCGTATAAATTCATATTTAGTATATACATTTATATCGTTATCTGTTCTGCGCTCTGCTTATGTACATATAATTCCTTCTTCTACTCAATAATATGCATTTTTATGTAGACGAGCACTTCATTTACGTCTACCACTTAGTTAAATCTCGTTGGAAAATCACTAGTCGCATACCTCATTTTGTGCTGAAACAAATTAAACACAATGATACTTGGTCTACCAGTTTTTTTAATAATCAGTTCCTTGTCTAGTCTTAGATAACTAAGTAGTAACGTGTTCAATTTTCCCCTTATGTCTAATAAAATCGGCTATCTAAACCAACAGGTCGAAGACGCAGTAAAAATATGTGTTAGCAAATACTAAGGAAAGGTGACCGTCAACCCTCCTTGGGAGTGCTTATGCTTATGTATATGTCATGAAGCGCAAGAGTGAAAGTCTTTATACAAGTGGTACACATGTAATATGTAAAAGACATCCAGTTGTAACAAATTCGTTCAAAGAGAGCGGAGACCATCTGCCTTTCACGGGGGGGGTGAATATACATAAGTGTACTCTATGGGATACATAAGTGAAAACCTATATGTTACCGATGTGCATGTGTCGTATACTTGCCCCTAGTTCGGGTCGCGCACTAAGACCCGGGGATGCTGGTTTCCCCACGAAATCACATCCACGTGGTGAGCCTTGAAACAGGGAGACTTTTCAGAAAAGCCAGTAGACCACCAGATAAAGCTTTACGAACCTTGAACGACTGAACACTACATACCATGTTCAATCTTCAGGTAAGAAAGTATTTCTCACTCTTTTAAATAGTTTGATAAGTCAGGCACCCAAAAACAACATGTTATTTGGAATGAATTTGTGTCGACTAAGTCGCTACACAATCTCAGCATAGGGAAAAGGGAAGTTAAAATGATATTTAGCGAACTGATTTGGAATAATCATTGTATTAATGAATAGTGCAAAATAATATCGTTCGCCGGTTTTCGGCATTTTTCATCTATCAGTCTGAACTGCACTACACTGTTGCGTTCATAGTTGACGGATTCGAATATCTTCAGATTCTTAAGGTGAAATCTTCAGTAAAAATTACGCTTACATACAGTATATACCTACTAAATTGACGGAAAGGTGGGCGAAAATACTGGATACCACATACTTATTGAACGTCGAACAATAGGTGGATGACCCCATCCCATGTATCCGAGGCAATCTAACCAATTTTTAGGACCGTAATGAGTTGTCTGACCTAGAAGTCTGATCCACAAGACAGTGGAGCAACGCTAGAAGATTATTTTTTTAAAATTAGCTGAAATATACATTAACCAAAATTTCGAATAAATGACTATCGAAAGTAAATAATAGTTTGCTCTAAGATAGAAAATGACATCGTCCATAAAATCGTTGGAAAACGTCATAAGCTACATAAAAATGCCCGTTATGTAAATTTAAGTGTCATTACTGCAAATTTTTTTAAGCGACAGATTTCTTAGTCTGTTATTTACTTTTTAGTTTATAAGATGCATAAAAGTTTCTAGGTTATTAGTAGTGCTTTCCAATTGTGTCGCCAATGTCGTAGACCATTTTTTTAACCTTAGGAATATTCAGTGTAAATATGCTGCAGGGCTCGTCAGTCAGTCAGTCAGCTACAACGTAGGACCAGGCACATATGTGCATCGGTCCAGGTTGCCATACCTCATTAGCACAGCAAGATGAACACCGGATTCATAGGAGGGGTTAGGTCAAAGGTGTTAAAATATAAAAGAAAGATTGCAATATGGATATAGTACAGGAAGAAAGAATTAGTTAGTAGAAAGAAAGATATGAAGTGATTTTAATCTCTTAGTTTAAGGGAAGACAGGGAGTGTATACACTTACGCCATTGTGATCGATTCTGAGCCATGTCACCAAGAGTCTCCAACCATTGGTTACGAAAGTCACGCGGACCCCAACCAAGTAGTCTGCATCTCCCAACATGACTCAGACTAGAAGTTAGTGACTTCAAGCACTGATGCCACGTTTTGGTTTGGCCGCCCCTAACTTTCTTCCAACCATCTCCAACACCGGTTAGCATTGCACGTCGTGGTAATCGGTGTTCAGGCACACGTAACACGTGGCCCAACCATCTCAGTCGATGAAGATTCACAACCTCATCAACTGATTTACCATTATTCCCTAATACCCTGCGTTTAACCTCACTATTACTTACCCGGTGATCCTGGCAGACGCCAACAATATTTCTGAGGCGTCTGTGATCAAATACTAGTAGCTTACGAGTGTCTTCTACTCTTAATGGCCATGTTTCGCTGCCGTAAAGTAAAACAGAACGGACTGCCGTGCAGTATACTCGTCCTTTTATTGACAGACGGATATCTTGTCTTCGCCAAAGGTGACGTAAGCTGGCAAAAGCCAAACGAGCTTTTCGAATCCGTGCTGAGATTTCGTCGGATACCAACCCATTAGGGCTGATCAGACTTCCAAGATAAGTGAAGTTGTCAACGCGTTCGACTACTTCACTCCCTATCCTTAGTTCAGGTGTTTACGCAGACCAGTCCTGAAGCAACAACTTGCATTTCGAGGGAGAGAAGCGCATTCCAAACATTCTGGCATTGTTACTTAGTGCTATCAGAAGACTCTGCATTTTGTCAGCGTCTTCACTAAACAGGACTATGTCATTTGCTTGTTCTAAGTCGATAAGTGGATCTCCTTTCCTGTTGTGATAAACCCAACGAGCTAAATTGGCCGAAATATGTGTTATTTTAGGTCCTATCATATTAGACAGGTCGGTCGGAGAATGGTAAATCTGAAAGCAGCACCTTGAAGCCCGAGGGCGAAGTTTTACTGTGGGCTGTCGACAGGTGTGCCAGCATTAAAGTATTTCTCTCGACCAACCAATGTCTGCAGCGATGCTGTCTTCTCATCAGAGAGTTAGGGAAGGTGGACCCTTAAAGCCACACCTCACCTTACTCTGGCATTAAGGCTTTTTAAAATGCGGAGCCAACACATAAAAATTCCCATAAACAGGTTTTTAGACCAGTGTCAAGCATTTGTCTCTTGCTCTCTGCGGTCACATTCACAGGTCAATAATGCCACTACTAGTCCATTTTTTTTGTCAGGTCCGCAAAGAAGAAGTATATTTTTCACTGTATGGTCAACCGGGAAGTGACAACCGCTCTCAGAAATGCAACAGCACCCGAGATCACCATGCTACAGGGCTGAGGATTCCAAGCTGGGGCTTGAGTTTTGATAGAGCTTTATGATTTCCCAAATGTATATCCCATCTACCTCCAGCGTGCTTTTGCTAATTTCCTTTTCAGCTAATAGTTGGTTTGTTCTCTGGGACAGTGATTAATTAGCTTCTATAGATTATCAGCTTTAAATATTCTATGGGAAATTGTAAACTACCGAAATCTTGTCCACTGATAATTCATCTTCATTGTTAGATTTTCTAGTGTAGTTGTTGTCGTGGTGTAGGCTACTTATGTCGATAGACACAAAGTAGTATGCAGCACTAATCTGAAGTGGAATGTCTGGCAGCAGAATATTGAAAAGATCGAATTGAAGAGAACAAGGATGTAAACAGTAATTAATTAGAACTGTTCTTTTGTATAGTACCTACTTTTCAGTGGTTGAAATCTTGAGTCAATTGAAGCTAGACCATCATGAAAAACCTGGAAGCACTGGCTGGCCGTTTTGTCCTAGTATGGGACTCCTCAGTAGTGCGCACCCACGACCCCGCCTCCCGCGAGATTCGAACCCAGGACCTACTGGTCTCGCGCACGAGCGCTTAATCATTAGACCACTGAGCCGGCATCCAACAGTGTTAATGTCTAACTTCAACCAATCCACAAAGTTGCGCCACCGTACATTTGGATACATTCAAATGTTTCACGATTAGTGTTTACTTGTATAATTTTTAATCATAACGTGTTTACAATAATGTCATGAATAATATTTGTATTGTATTTCTATTACATTCAAGTTGTCAGTCATCCAATCATAGATAATCAGTTAGTAGACGGGAATTTCAATAATAATGTGAATAATAATAGTCCTTTAATTAGGTAAGTGTTGGGTTACCGCTTCACATTACCAATAGATCGGTTTTATCACATACAATTATTATTTTATATGTCAATCGTCACTCAATAAAAGTTAATGTAGCTTATCTTGAAGCTAATTTGCATCCCTGAAACCAACAGCTTAATATATAAATAATTTAACATAATCTAACCAGAGGTTATGCTCTGTGACATTGTTCATGTATTTGGCAGTTTGACAATATATGTATATCCATTGATAATGCTAAACAGTAATAAGCTTTCACATTACTTAACCCTAACATTCTGCAAGAAGGACAGAAGTATTCTTCACAAAAAAGAAATAGACGATTACCTATACGCAGCTATTCACCATTCCTTACCTGTTTTACTCACATCAGCTTCAGCTTGTAGGTGTTATTAGTTATACAGTAAATCAAACTATAAGAGATATGTATAAATTGGGTTATAATAGTCATTTGTAACTAAAATGTCATTATTGAATGACTTTATTAGTAATCTAAATCAGTAGACTACTTCTTTTACTGTACTAGTGTTTTCATTGGACCCTGACCCAGTCAGTGGTCGGTAACTGTGAAACATTTGTTTCGAGACCTGAAGGTCTTAATTTCGACCCCTGAGGAATGCTGAAGGGTCCTGTACTAGGATGAAACATCTATCCAATACTTCCTAGTTGCCAATGGTACTTCTTTAGTGAATGCTACTTGCAAGATTATTTGTAAGTATTGTGTAGCGAAATGTGACGTCTAAGTTGCTACATTTGTCAGACTAAGTGAGTTTTAGTCGATCGAAAGTATGGCGTTGGCAGAATACCTGGAGACCAGGCGACAAGATATTCCAAATTTCAGAACACACCGAGAGATGTGAATCAAAGATTGAAATCTATGTATAATGTATTATATAAATACTTTATAACTTCTTATAATAAATACATTCTTCCTGTCTATTGTTGTGTTCTACATTTCAACTAAAGTCAATCTGTGATGAATACATTCAGCCCCCCCCCGAAAACCTATGATCTATTCATATATGGAATATATACTGTAAATGTTTATAGTTCAAATCAATCGAATTGATGGATGTTATAACCTTAATGTGTTACTTAAATAATCAAACTGTCAATCGTCATATAGCTTATCATGAGTAACGGGTTATCATCAATGATGTGTTTAAATTAATTTCTTTCAATTAGTTATTCACATGATCTGTGAATTAGATTAGATCACATCATTACAAAACAATAAAATCAAATTTGTCCGATCAAACTTATTAAGATTATAATATATATAACTACATGGATTATACAAATAATACCAATCAGTTATTGTTATATCATTGGTAAATATGATTCTTTCTGAATGGTGGTGATGATTGTGATAGCTCAATCATGTCTTATTGATTAAATCGTGTAAGGTTCAACCTGACTGTTTTACTTGGTTTGATTAGGAGAATTTTTGTCGGCTAATACTTGAACCTAGCAACAATTTCTATTTTTAGTATCATTTTTTCATTCATTTCAACACAGATATTGGTACAAAGAGCCTTTGACCTGAAGGTCTGATCCACAAGACAGTGGAGCATCGTAAGGAGATGAAGTCCCATGGAAACTAGTGACCAACAGTTGGTTCATGCGCCATTTGTTCCTTCACAATACTGGAACTCATGTGCACCACTGGTTTGGAATCCGGTAAAAGCGCCGGACATTCGCTTCTCGTCCTCTCATTTTCGTAAACATCACCCGTGGTGCGAGAAAGCAATGAGTTGGACTTTCCTGGCAGAGGCTGTGTACGCGTGGCTGTGTGAGAGCATTTCGAGATGGAGAGCGGACTCTCCCCACTATTGACCATATCAGGGCATTTGGAGGCCGTTCTTAGTTGGTGGAGCGATTTGTCTGTTTTTAGTCATCAATTCCTATCAGGCCTAAATAACTAGTTTTACTTTAAATAGTATTTATTTATTTTCTAACCTTTGAAAATTCTTATAAAACTTCTAATTATTTCTTTTATCATCTTTTTGTAGTACTGTGTCGTCTGGAGAAAGTGAACGAACTGTTGTTGACGTAAGTTTTGCTATTATAGGCTACATTTTATCGACCTATTTTCTGTTTATTACCATTTCATACTTTTTTTAATGGTATGTAGAAGAAAAAGAGTAAGCCTCATAATGATACTTACAACTCACGGATATTTATGGGGTATCGGATTGACAACAGATTATGGATGTTAATGATGGTTTGTTGAAGAATTCATTTATACTACCTCAAATAGATTTACCTCTCTGAATTATCGTTTAGTTCTGTATTACTTTTTTGTTATAAACATGATAGGTTCATCTAAAGAGTGCGAATTCCGTTACTTAGCTTATTGTTGAACACCGGTGATACTACTCGGCTATCCAAAATAAAGTAAATGGAGCGAAGTTCGGACGTGCGACTTGGTGACTAAAAGTTAACTATTGAACTAGTATTTGATCTGTCCAGGTTTGAATGGTGGTTTATGATCTCAGTGAAATTTCTTATCATCATTTTCCGCAGATCAGTATTCATTCATCAATTATTCGTTTCACCTAGTTCTCCAAGTTTATTTATATCAGCTTTTTCTTTAATCCATGTATTTTCCAACTTTGCAACACGAAATCCATAGTCAGTTACTTACTTAGGCCTGTTAATCCTAATGGAGCATAGGACGCAGACCAGCACTCTCCAACCCACTCTGCCTGGGCCTTCTTTTCTAGTTCCATCCAATTCTTGTTCGTTTTTCTTATGTCTGTCTCCATTTCTCGGTGTAATGTGATTTTTGGTTTTCCTTTTTTCCTTTGGCCTTGAGGATTCTATGTGAGGGCTTGTCTTGTGACGCATTTGGGTGCTTTCCTAAACGTGTGTCCTATCCGCTTCGGGCGCTTCTTCCCGATTTCTTCCTCCGCTGGAATCTGGTTTGTTCTCTCCCACGTGAATCAACAGTTAATTTCTAAATGAATGTCAAGAATTAGCTTTGGAGATTAAATAATTGACTATGAAAGCCGAGTTCCATAGTCAATTATTTAATTTCCAAACCTAATTCTTGACATTCATTTGGAAATTAACTGTTGATTCACGTTTAATTTCTATTCATTCAATAGTTATTTCGAATTATGATATGTTTTTTCGTTTCTATGTATAGTAATATGTGTGCCAATTATTTTGAAATATCGGCCTACTATCTCTCTCTCTCTCTCACACACACTCTATCACTTATAAACACATACACATGTATACATCTTAGTAATTTTAATCTGTTTACTTAATGTTTTGATCTTTCATGTTTACTCAGAATGCAGTACACAGGTTTGAATCAATGGATAGTCAAGATGAATCATCTTTAATGAGAACTAATAGTGTAAGTTTAATTATGTTTTGGTAAATGTAAATGATAAAAAAGTGTCTATTATTACAATTGATTGATCACTGGGTGGTGATCAATGTCTTGCTTGTCTAGACCTTATTAGTGCAGATCGAGTGCTATCGATCATGTTGCAATGTGGCCACCAGTCTAGGTGACTCGACACTGCGGGCACTATGTATTGAGATTTAGATGGTGGTTGGAGGTAGTCAACAGGAAACCCTGGACCCGGGTTTCGTGCTACTTGGCACTCGTCAGCAAGGTGTACCTGTAATCTTGAGGGAACTGGTGCTCCCTGGCGGATTCGATCTCGTGTCACCCAGCTTCACAGTCAGAGACGTTACCACTGAGCTATCCGAGCCGTGACTAACCTCCTGTAGGACTGAGATGTAATTACAATTGATTGATCACTGGGTGGTGATCAATGTCTTGCTTGTCTAGTCCTTATTAGTGCAGATCGAGTGCTATCGAGTCACCTAGACTGGTGGCCACATTGCAACATGATCGATTCCATTGTGTTCTCGCTCTTCTTTTCTGGATCTTCCCCATGTTCTGCTGTCAGACATTTCGTTCTTTTAACTCACGTTATTTACTACTTATATCAATATAAGTAGCACGCACCACACTCGTCCCCCCTTTTAATAAATTGCTGTCGTAGTCTTTCTGATCTCAGTACCGCTGTCTTCTTTGGTGCTTTTCGTGACTAACGACCATGCTGATATTGAAACCAGTTGACTAGCGTTTACTCGCTTCTGCTTGTCTTCTCTCCGGATCGTGTAGACTGAGCCGCGTCTCTCCTTGATAACATACGGTCCTTCTCACTTTGAGGTCAGCTTTCCCGACCCTGCTCCCCCTGCTATGTTACTTTTTCGTTCTCTACACTTTACTAGGTCCCCCACTGCAAAGGCTTTCCACGTTCTCCTCTGTTGTTCCGCCTTCTTTATGTCTGATATCTGTTTCTTTTCCACGTTCCTTATTGCATCCCTCCTCTCTTTTCTTAACCTTGTTGTCGTCCATTTCTGTTGTTGTGGCCAGGTCTTATTATGCATTGGAAGTCGTGGCTGTCTGCCATACATGAGTAAGAAAGGTGACTTCTTGGTTGCTCCTTGTGTGGAGGAACGATGCGCCAGCAAAATCAATGGTAACTCTTTTTCCAAATTTCCTCCTTTAGATGCTAACCATTCCTTCAACGTCCGGTTGTTCCTCTCTGTAAGCCCGTTTGTCTGAGGATGATACGGTGTGGTTCGTATTCGCTTGATTCCAAACTGCTTTAAACGGGCTTTAAACTCGTCACTTTCAAAATAGGGACCCTGGTCAGTTAATATCATCTTCGGTATTCCGTGACATGCTACAATATGCCGGATTACCACTTCGGTCACTGTCCTTGCCCGTTGTTCTGCAATGGGTACGGCATCTACCCAACGTGTAGCATGTTCCGTCATTACTAGCAGGTACTGGTTACCGCTCGCCGTCTGTGGAAACGGTCCCATCACATCCACCGACCATAGATCACCGACTGCGGTTACTGGGATTCACTGTAATGGCGGTTGTGTGTATCGATCGCCTTTCATTGGCTGACACTGCTGGCAAGTTAACACGTATTCAGCCACATCGTCTCTCATGCCCGGCCAGTATGCACTCTGTCGTAGTAAATCCGTAGTTCTTGCGATTCCTGTATGCGCTACCTGGTGACACTCGTGCATCACTTTACGCCGCCAGCCTTCGGGATCACCGCCACCCGATTCTCGTCACCGTCCTGCCAGGTCAGGACTCCATATGAGTTCACTCTCAGTCGTTCCTTTTGCCGAAGCAGCGTTATTACCTCCTTGTCCATTGTTCGTTTGTCTACGTCTGCTCCCTCTTTTTGATCACTCTGATTACCTCTCGAAGATTAGGGTCAGCTTTCTTCTGCCGGACGAGTTCTAATGGGTCTCCCTCTAAACTGTTCACCGCGTATGCTGTTAATGGCAGGTCGGCTTCCATGTCTGGTCTCGACAAGTAATCCGCCATTACGTTTTCTTTTCCTGGAACATGGCCGATACTGAAGTCATATTTTTGCAGACGTATCATCCATCGCGCCAACTTCCCTCGGGGGTCTCTTGCTGTTTTCATCCACTGCAGGGGTTTATGGTCGGTCTCAATGTGAAATCGTCTATCTAAAAGGTACGGTCTCCATTTTTCTACTGCCCACACGATTGCTAAACACTCTTTTTCGATGGTTGAATACTTCTGTTCAGCGGGTGTGAGGACGCGACTCGCGTATTCCTGACTCAACACAGCACCTATACCATGATCGCTCGCGTCTGTGGCCACTGTGAACAGTTTTCCCGGTTCAGGCAGTCTGAGCGTCATCTGACGATCGTCTAGCATGTTTTTGATTCGGTTGAACGTTTGTTCGGCAGTCTCAGTCCACGTAAACTTGGTGTTGCTCAATAACTTATATAAGGGTGCTGCTATTTCGTTGAAAGTCTTGACAAACCGACTGTAAAATGCCGCTCTTCCCAGGAACTGTCTCAATTTCCTTTTCGAATTGGGTACTGCAATATTTTTTATGGTAAGAATTTTCTCCGGTAATGGTTTTATTTCTCCATTTCCCACTTTATGTCCCAACAACGTGACGCTACTTTTCGCTATCTGCGACTTGTCCTTATTAATCCGAAGTCCGAATTCGTCAATTCGCTTTAAGACCGCTTCCACATGCTTGACGTGATCTGTTTCTGTCTGGCTGTACACAACCACATCGTCGCCATATACCTCGACATTATCTAGATTATTGAGCAGTGGTGTCATTAGTCTTGTGAATGTGAACGGCGCACCTGCCAACCCGAACGGCATTCGTTTAAATTGGTACTGTTTATCACGTACCGTAAACGCTGTCTTGCTTCGATCGCTCTGTTTTATAGGCAGTTGCCAATATCCTGACCGTAAATCCAGCACTGTAAACACCGTGGCATTCTGTAGCCGATCTAATGTTTCCACTACTGTTGGCATTGCACAAGGTTTCAGGTCTGTTATATTATTCAATTCTCTGAAGTCGACACGAAATCTATACTTTCCATTTGGTTTCTTTACTAAGAGTACCGGTGAGCTATATGGGCTGTCCGCTTCCTCAATTATACCTTCTTTCAACATTTCCTGGACCTGGCGAGTTATCTCAGCCTCTAAATGCACCGGAACACGACGTGTTGCAAATATATTTACTCGATCGCTCTTTATCGGGATTTCGTGCTTTACTTTGTCACAAAATACATACGGCTCTCCATCTCCAGTGAACAGTTTCGCATACTTTTTGCATAACTCGTTAATGTTTGGTTTCTTCGACGAGACATCCGCTGCCACTCTTATTTCAGCCACTTCACTACTTTCGTGTATTGGCAATGAACCATACTTTGTGACCACCTTACCGTTTCTTAAGTCAACTATCGCTCTTACTTCTCTTAGGAAATCTGCTCCTAATATCGTTCTCGATAAGCTTGTGGTTACCACGAACGGGAAATTTATCTCAGCATCCCCCACTTTTACTATACTGTTAGATACGCCAAACACTTCTAACATATGGCCTCCTATAGTGTGGACAGTTAATGTACACGGCTTGAGTCTCCTACTTTGCCTATTAACGAGACTGCTGCACCTGTATCGATCAGACAAACTAAATGTCGTTCATTTATGTTCACTCTCGTATACACTGCCCCTCTGTCTACTAACGCAACAACCCCAGATTCCTAGGATAGAAAGAACACTCGTTATAACGTCTAAAATATCTGCGTCTTCGTCTTGTTGGACAGTTTATCTTCCAATGTCCTGTTCCTCCACAAGCGTAACATTTATCGTTCTTTTCATGGTTCACTCGTATTGCTGCAATCTCACGCTCCAGCTCCTCAATTTTCTTCTCTACATTACTTATCTCCTGCTTTCCGGAGCCACTGTTCGCGTCGTCAGCTGACGAGTCACCTTCGCCAGTTTACTAATATCCATTGGTTGCGCTGCTTTCACCAGTTTCAGTTGTTGGGAGATGGTGGCAGGCACAGTCTCGATAAACTGTTACGCTAACAACTGTGCCTCCGACTCCTCATCCAGATTCGGCAGCGCACGGCGTAACAATCTGGTAAGCTCCACCGCCAGCACCAGTGGGTCAGCATCAACCGGCGACCTCGCCAACCGGAACTTCTGCAGCGCCTCCTCTCTGTCCACTGTGCTGTCGAACTCCCCCGCCAAACGCTCCGTAACTGTTTCCCATGTCGTCTTCCCACCAGCAGCGTTCAAGCTGTCATATACAGCCTTCGCCCTGCCTCTCAACAGCGTCCTCAGCACCACTAACTTCGCCTTCGGCTCCTTCACTCACACCGCCTCAAACTCCTTCAGGAAGCTTAGCACATCTCCATCCTCAAATTCCTTTGGTCATGGAATCTTCATCCTTAGTGGAGGCAGCGACACCAAATGTAGTGAAGGAGAACACAGGTGAGGACAACCAAGTTGTATTTAGCACAAATTACAGAGTTGCTTGGTAAAATAAGAAAACCATATCGTCAATCGTTAATTTGCAAAATATCATTCCATCATATCAAACCGGACTGTTGCTGTTGCAAACACCAATCCATTTTCTCACATTTCATTGTTCATGCGATTTTTTACAAATTCCATTGTGTTCTCGCTCTTCTTTTCTGGATCTTCCCCATGTTCTGCTGCCAGACATTTCGTTCTTTTAACTCACGTTATTACTACTTATATCAATATAAGTAGCACGCACCACACCTTCACTAATATTGCGACTGTGGTGTAAGCTACTTACATCTACATAAGTAGTATATAACGATAATCAGGCATAGAATGTATTTCAGTAGAAGACCGAGGAGGAAAGAATGGAAACTGAAAGCAATTGGTATGAAAATATATGAACAATGAAATCTGAGATAATTTACTAATATTTGCAGAAGGAGCAGTCAAGTTTGAGACGATGGATTATTATTTTTCTAATAAACTGTTTATGATATGGTTCACAGATTTTTGTGAGATATTCTGTA